CTCCCAAGAGGCCCCCAAAACGGCCCAAGAGGGCCCCCAGACGGCCCAAGAGGCGCCCAAGACGGCCCAAGAGGGCCCCAAGACGGCCCCAAGAGGGGGCCACGAACCCGAAAGTCTAGCCTATCGCCCCAAGACGCTCCCAGGAGGCCCCCAAAGACCCCCAAGAAGCCTCAAGAGGCCCCCAAGAGGCCACCAGGAGGGCCCGAAAAGGGCCCCAGTAGGACTTCCACGAAGGCCCAGAGACGCCAAGAGCGATCGCTAATGCAAGAAGCTCTTCACACCAAGGCTCCCAAGAGCGAACGGTGGCGCAAACAAGCTGATAAGACCAAGGCTCCCAGCAGAGAGCGGTGACGTAACAAGTTCCTCACACCAAGGCCCAGCCAAGGCTGAGGAACGGGCGGCAACGCAACCATCTCTGAACACCAAGGCTCCCAAGAGCGAGGGGTGACGTAACCAGCTCTCGACGCCAAGGCTCCCAGTACGTACGGTGGTGTGAGTAATTTCGGTTTCTCTTTCTGAAGCGCTCTTTCCGTTTCTGTGCCGGGCCAGGTCTAATGGCTTCCGGCCCATCTCGCCATCGTGCCTGGGTTGCGGGTCAGAGTCCTCAGGGATGCTTCTTGGGGTCTCTTCGGAGCGCTCTCGGGGGCCTCTGGGGGGGCCGTGTTGGGGTCTCGTGGGAGCCCCAAGGAGGCCTCTTGGTAGCGTCATGGGAGCCTCTTGGGGCTTCCTGGGGGCCTCCTGGAGGCTTCATGGGGCCTCTCGGGGGCCTCTTGGCGCCTCCTGGGGGCCTCTCGGGTCTGAGAGCTCGAAATGTCCGTTCGGGTCCTCCGTCTGGGCCCCCCCTTGGGGCCGTCTTGGGAACCGCGTGGGCCGTCAGCGTCGGGGAATCGTGAGGTGGGCGTGTGTCTGCAGAGTTCGGTCGGCGTGATAAGCGCCCAGGTCGGTGCATGCGCGCTGGTTGGACATGCCGGGTGTTCCCTTGGCAAAGCGACGTGGCGTGGCCACAATTGCCTTCTGCATCCTGGTCTTGCAATGCAGGCGCGCTTTGGAGGCTTGCTGAGACGTCTTCTTTTCGGTGGCGTGTGAACCATCCTGCCATCATCAGCATTTCGGCTGTCGCCGTTGCCACCGTCGTACCCTTCAGGCTGTCTGCGTCGCCTTCGGACCTGGAGGCAAAGCCCTATTTCGACGCCGCGCGTTCTTCAGACCAGGCGGTCCAGCTTGACGAACACGTCAGTCTGACACAAATGGACTGCAGTCTCATTGGCTCGGGTTGCTTATAGCTCCGCGGTCATGGACCATGACAGGTCAGAGCGGGAGGCGAAACCCAGGCGCCTGGACGCGCTCAAGCGGCAGGATCCGCACGCGCCGGCCTCACTTTTGAGCGCCATGTTGCAGGATGCAACGTGCACCATGCCAGAGGTCACGCACCTCAATGCCAGTCGGGAGGTGCGGGGCTGCGTCATGCGACGCAGCGGCGGGTTCTGAGCGCTCCTCGATAAGCTGCCCACGTCTCGAGCGGAAGGCTCGGCGACGCATCGTAATTCAGCGTCCGGGGCGAATGCCATGTCGGACCCAAGGGCAAGGTGGAAAGACAGCATGCTGTACCAGGCCTCGCCGACGATGCCTCTGCTCACTGAGTATACGTTTTTGCTAGAGGACCCACGCTCTCAGACCAACTTCGCCTTCCACATTGACGACTTGTGCGTGGGCGCCGCCGCGCCGCCATTTCGCAAAATCGTTTTCAGATCGGAAGATAGAACGGCTCAGCTCCGATGGAAACTGCGGCCTTCGGGCCTGAACGGCATCGTGAACAACGCTCAGAAGACCTCGGCGATGCCGCCGCCGTGCGTCGTCACAATAATTATCGGACCGCTCGCAGAGCAGGCATATCCACGCGTCCGTGTCCACCAGCATCGGCCCAAACTGGACGAACGACACGTAGACGAACCAGCACTTCCTTCGGTTGTGGCCTGCCCGTTGATTGCCTGGGACTACATCGTCGCCATGGACGCCGAGGTCCCAGGTCGAGTCGCAACTCGGAGGCGTCTCGCGAACGAGGCGCTGCAAGGCCTTCCCGAAGCCTCCGCCCATGCCGCGTGAAACGTTCAGGAAAGCGAACAGGCTGGCTATCACCAAGTCGTCCGCCGAGAGGCCGGCCGTAGTCGTTAGGACGAGGGCGAGCGAGCTTAAGCTCAAAGAGATGGCAGCGGGATTCGACCACAGCACTTCAACCTCTTTTCCAGCAGGGACCTGCGCCAAATCTTGGAGCCCGCGAGATGCTTTGCTCACGGCTGGGTGCGCACTCTCGTTGTGCACGGCGCATGGAACACCGCGCTGTATTTTGTATTGGTTGCTATCCAGCTTGCTGGCTGCGGGCGTCAGGAGTGCACCGAAGGACGTGCGCGATCTCGTCGGGCAGCAGAAGCCCCCGCAAAGGCTTGGTTTGAAGGCGGCCGCCCTCTTCGACGTATCCCCGCCTTTCTAGGGGAAAGCTCGTGTCGAAGCAAAGTGCGTGAAGTGTTTTGCGTCTGAGCCAGTCCCCACGCACACCATTATAGCGCAGTTCATGCAAAACGCGTTGCTCAGGGCAGGCTGCTGCGCCCAAGGATGCGGGGCGTTCCTCCGTTGCTCGGCAATATTGGATCTCATGCTGGCCGCGCCGCACGCATGGCTCCGTGCGCGCGTCAGACATCCTAGGCAAAGTGGGCAAGTTTCCCCAGGCTTGCGTGAACGCAAACTGGAGGTCCACCTGCGCTAGGAAGCATGGGGTTCGGCACTTTATTGCACTTGTGGACCCATGAGAGGAAGCGCAAGATGGTCAAAGCGTTCGCTCGGAAAGCGTAGTCAACTATGGCACCGACCTCGCTTTTGTTTTACACCCTTTCAGAGTGTAAGACACGTGCGGGTTTGATGCCTCAATTCGCCCGGGCTCTCGGAGGGCTTGCGCAACGCGACGTCGATGGAGACGAGCATCGTTTCCGAGATTGCGCGCAAACGTATTCACGACCTGACGGCTTCGCATGAAAAGTTCGACTTCAGGGTCAAGTTGCATGCGCCGAGACCCGCCAATGATTAGTTGGCAACGTTCGTCTGCTCTGAATAGAGCCACCCCAAGGAACGGCAGTCGACTTGCTTAGTTGCGAAGTCGGCTACGGTCTGCACGGTCGAAGTGGTTCGCACCAGTGACGTTGTGACGTTGAGTCGAGAGCGGGCGGCCCATGCTGGGGCAGGTCAGGTTTTTGGTCGAGGCGGTGTCCGAGCCTTGCGTTCCGGCCGCCACTTGGCCCAGATCTGAGGTTAGGGATGGAGTCGCATTGGCGCGTGCTCGGACCAGCATGTGTTTTTGCCCTCTGACAGCCATCCTGGGAGCCGTGCCTTTTTTCCAGAGCAGGTCGGACGGGCGCGGGTGTGCGAACCGTTGGGTTTTCAATTCGATGTGTTTGGGTGGGAGGGAGTGCTTCTGCAGTGCGCTACAGAAAACCAGCGCGACAACCACCGACAAAGCTTTTTATGTCTTCAGGCGGACCCGTGACGTTGCTCTGTTTCATTACGGCAAACATTCCGACCTGAAGGTCGACGTCCCGTTGCACTATAGAATGTCAGCGAGGCTCGCGTCTTCCACCTCAGGACAACAACACTAATTGGCATATAAGAGCATCGTTTTGTCACATTATGCGCCCACGTGCCCCCCATGTATGATGCGACGGATGCGTGCGCACTTGCAATGCGCTGTTCAAACTTTAATCCGACAGTATGGTTTCAGTGTTCGATGCTTGTTTTGTCATTGGCCTAAGGACGTTGTCTGGAGACCCTGCCAAGGTAATTTCCCCCCCCAAAAAACAGTATTCATGTATCGCATATCCTGGCGAATGCACTTTGTGTCCACCTCTGGACGTTGTCCGAAACCCATGCCAACAAATGCTTAGGTTTCTCAGGATGAGTTTAGCATGCTACATACGAGTTATCGTTTAAATTTGCCGCCGATTCGGTACAAGCGCGCCTAACTTTGACAAGTTACGCAACTACTGGTAAGGTGAACGAGGTGTTGACAAACCTCAATGCGTTCAAGTACCCTGGCCCCCCATCGATTCAGGAGAATCGATGGTTGGTGGGGACAGGGTTCGGATGTCGCCACCTACCGGAACTCGGGTTAGCCTTGGAGCCGACTGGCGGTCCGAGGCGGTCCAGCGTTGTTTTTGTCCAGCAGGAAGGTGGGGCGGAGGTTCAAGGTGCTAGTTTCGATCAGGTTGTGTGTGCGTGCATTGTTGTTGTCGGCCTTTGGGGAATGTTTTTGGGCACCGTGACCGTCCAAAACAGATCCAGGGTATAAAGCTTGCCCAGATGAGCCCTGGGGTGGACCGGGGACCGTTGTTGAGCGGATTTGTGTTCTCCCCTTTTTTTGGACCTCGTTTTTCAGGCTCCTCCATTTCAGACCCCCAGGCCGCCTTCAAGTGTACGTAGCCAGCTTTTTGACAGACTTCCCTTGGAGTTTGACGGTTCATTTTTTCCGTGGGATCTTTGCATGGGGAGTTCGCGTCAATTTTCAGAGTGGGTCTCGTCATTTTCTTGACGACCCCGTCAGGCCAATCTCTTCAATTCGAGTCTTATGTCTCCCAGAAAAAAAATACTGTGGGGCTGGCGTGCCCCATCATCCCGCCCCCCCGTGTCCGCTCATCCGGCTCTGGACGCAATCTGAATCGTCACCGACGGGCGCAACAAGGTTGCAAAAACTATCGTTTCAATCGACTCCCACATGTCTTATGTTAATCGCCAGCTCTCATTATCTGCCCGCGTCATTCTATGCGCGAGCGCTCTCTTCTCTACACGGTTTACCGCGGTGGCGGGTCGCGAAAGCCACCGGGAAAGGTCGCCATGCCGTAGCGCGTAAGACACACATGTCACAGTGTCACATGTTTTTTAGTCACTCGTGTCGGCGCGATGATTCCAGCCGTGTCCAGTCCCCGCGCCGTTGCGCTGCCTCCTCGCTGCCTCTGCAGGCTGGCCTAGCCGCGGACAAGGCCTGGGCGGCAGAGGACCCTCGGCACCGAGCGTTCCAGGACCTCCGCTAGACACGCCCGCCCTCGCCTCAGAGGGGGGAGAAGGGTTTGGCCACGCGTAAGAGGTGACCATTCGCTGGAGTGACCACTGGTGCGGGCACACCCGGGATCCCCAGATGGCTGAACGCGACGCGATAGCAGCGGCTTGCGCACTCGAGTTGGGCCTCTCCGCGTTCCCCCGAAAGCCGGGCACCGAAGGTCACTCTTGCTTGGGGTCACTCCTTTGCGTGTAGCCGGAGGCCATCGATACCATCGCCCTTTCTCTGTTTCAGTTTCTGTTCGGCCCTCTGGCCTCGGAGCCCTGTGCTCAGAGTGTACCCCAGGAGAGGTCCGGGGAGCAGCGGTGTCGGAATGTTGTTCTCCCCATCTTCGCCTGCTTCGGCCCCATCTGACAGCGCCCGTCGTTGAGAGTAGATACAAGGGGCTTGGGCCAATCCGCCGACCCTCACAAGAGAAAGAGAGTCTCGTGTGATCGCGGAAGCCATTCTGAGCACTGGGCCTGCTGACTACGTTGGCTCGCGTATTGCATTTCTCGTGCGGTCTTTTTGCAGGTCCTGTTGGAGCTCTCGGAGTTGGGCGGGCTATTTGGGGAAGTTCAGACTCGTCGTCGTCGTCGTCCTCCTCCTCCTCCTCCGCCGTTCGAGGGTTTTTTGCGCGTGCAAGTCTACGTAGCGACTCACCTAGCTAGGACAAGCCGGTCTTGTGCTTATTCGTGTTTCATAACGCTTCGTCGTCACCCTCAGGTTGTGCAGATCTAGTTGTCTTATAAACAATTGAAAGCTCTGCTAGCCTGGAGGGCGTGCTGGCCAGTTCGGCGCCCTCTTTCTCGAAGAGTTTGCTGTGCCGATGGGGCGAATAGATCAAGGGTGAAGCCGGCTGGGGGTCTGAGGTGGCCCAGCAGTGTTTCTGGCCAGCAGGAGGGGGGAGCGAGGTTCGAGCTCGAACCTTGTTCCCTGGCCGTCGAACCCAGCACATTGGTGCTGGGTTCGATCATGTTCGGCCTCTGGGGACCGTTTGCGGGTCCCAGGACCGTCAAAAACCGATCTGGGGTGAGTGACTTCACCAGATGGATCCGCGGATGGGTCCGGGAGCCGATTTTTACCTGATTCGCCCCCCACCTGACCGATTTTCTCGGAGCCCATCCAGCTCAGAACCCCCGCCGCCTCCAAGATCAAGGGCGAGACTTCGGGTCGAGCACGTCACTTTGGGGGACCTCGTCTGTCCCCAAAATTGGTGCCTTCTCTTGCGCCAGACGCGGGCTCGATGCGGACTCGACGCGGACTTGGCGCGGATTCGAAGTGGATTCGTCGATACAGATTCGACGCGGAGTCCACGAGTCCGACATGGATTCGACACGGAGTCGACGCAGATAGGAGCGCCGCGGGACAGATAAAGCCTCCCGAAGGTGCACATTAAATCACACGTTGCTTCACGCGTGCAAGCTTGTGTCGGCGGTCTCCGCTTCTCCTGGTTTCCTGCCTCATCCTTTACCATTCTCATATTCTAATCATGAAGGAAAGAGGGTGGGGCTGGCGAACGCAGAAGGCACAGAAGGAGTGCTTACATGAATGAAGCAACGGATAACGAATGGCTGAAAGGACGGATGTAGTGAGAGGTCAAGCAGGAGAGGCGAGAGCAGGCAGAGGGGAGGAGGGTGTCATGGAGGGAGGATCGAAGTATGAGGCATAGCCAGGACGATGAGGAAAACGTGAAGGACGAGGGAGTTGATGATGATGCTGATGATGATGATGATGATGATGACGATGTTGATGATGATGATGATGATGATGATGATGATGGTGATGATGATGATGAGGATGAGGATGAGGATGATGATGAGGATGATGATGATGATGATGTGGATGTTGATGTTGATGTTGATGTTGTTGTTGATGATGATGATCATGATCATGATCATGATCATGATGATGATGATGATGATGATGATGATGATGATGATGATGATGATGATGATGATGATGATGATGATGATGATGATGATGATGATGATGAGGATGAGGATGAGGATGAGGATGGTGAGGATAATGATGAGGAGGAGGACAAGAACATGCCTGGAGAAGATGAGGACGAGGATGAGGAGGGACAGTGACGAGGCGGCCCTTAGACTGCCCATAGGGGTCCCTGTGCAGTATTTTGAGGCACTTGTGTGGGGACCTTGTGGGAGTTGCCGGGTGCTTGCTTTTGGTTTCTTAACGCAATGGATCGCACTTTTCCTCCACGAGCTCCGCTCCTTCAAGGACTTCCACCTCCACACTGCGAAAGCGCTCCAGCACTCACGCACAGCAGTTACTCTGAGCGTGCTCTTCCCTCCCCCGCGCGCTCCTTCCGCTCCCGCCACCCGCCGTGCACAGTTCGGCCACGTGCAACCCACGTCGGCCTTAGAACGCGGCCAAGGTCCTCGCCGCTGCAGCAAACAATGGTCGGGGTGCCTCGTGCGCCTGTTGGCGATCGCGGGGGTCCTCTTTGGCCAGAGGCTTCGGACTATAAGTCCCGGTTGCCTTTCTTAGGCCAATTCCGCGGGCGTTTCTGAAGCCTCTTGGGGAGCGCTTGGGGGTCTCCAGGGTCGAGGGGCCTCAGCTGGGAGTCTTTTGGGCCTGTTGGGAGCCTCTCGGTGTCTCTCGACGTTATATTGGGCGCCAGCTGGCGGTCTCAAAAATTCTCTTGGGGCGAAGGGCTCGAACTTTCAGTTCGAGTTGATTATCCTGGGCCTCTCTTTTGCCTCTATTGAGGCCGTTTGGGGCCGTCTTGAACGCCTTTGGGGGTGTCAATGGGCCCTCTTAGACTGTCTTGGGGTCCTCTTGGGGGCTTCCTGGGTCGTCTTGGAACGATGTTGGACCCCCCCCTAGATTCGTCTTGGACGCTGTTCAAATGAAAAGACGAACATGCTAAACATGGTGTAGGCTTTTGTTCACATAGGATTTGGAACGATGTTTGCCTCTGTGGGCTGGCTTGGGGTCCTCTTGGGAACCCTCCTGCGGCGTTTTGGATCCTTCTCAGGCAGTCTTGGGGCCATCGATGCTGTTTCTGAAGACCCCCTCAATGTGTTGGAGCCCACCTTGGGCTAGCACACATGGAATTCCTATGCATTTTGGAGGCCACGGGGTGAATACTTGGAGCCTCCCCAGGCCCCAGAGATGGGTGCGTTGGCGAGCTTTGGCCCTTCGAGGGGTGGGACCCCCCGCCCCCTCAAACTTGATTTGGGTCTCCCGGGGAGGGGGACAGGGGGAGTGGGACAGCCAAGTGTCTCACGCGCCTTCCCGCCCCCGGCAAGCGGTTCTCCCCCCCACCCCCGCACCCCGCCCTCTTCTATTTCGGCCCCCATTTGGCAGCGCCCGTCATGGAGGGTAGATGTTGTTTCCAGGGGTGGCGGTGCAGATCCCAATCTACTTGCAGCGCCGTCCCACCTCAATGCTCGATGGCTTCTTACATTGACTTGCTATTACTCGGGCTGGCCAGAACCCCATCTAAGTCAAGACGCTTCGCGCAACCCCGCCAGCCCCGTAGTCTGGCTCAAGCTTCCGCAGTTGGTTGCAACTTGGAAGTCGCTGGCGACCCCGCCCTCTGCAAGCATCGGGATGGGTTGCTGCATGGCGCCCTGCCGGTCGCAGGCCGCGGAGCCGCAAATTCCCTCGCACGTGCCGGAACTGGAGGAGGTCCCTGTGCCAGCGGATGTGCAGGCCGCGGAGCCGCAGTTGCCCCCGCACATACCAGAACTGGAGGAGGTCCCTGTGCCGGCGGATGTGCAGGCCGCGGAGCCGCAATTGCCCCCGCACATGCCGGAGCTGGAGGAGGTCCCTGTGCCAGCGGATGTGCAGGCATTGTGGGAGAGCTGCGGCGGCCTGGAGCTCGACTCCGTGCTCGGCAGTGGAGCGGTCGTCCTGATGGACGCGGAGTGGATGGTGAGGCGAGCGCGCACTGGCCGCGTCCTCGAGCAGCGCCAGGCGTTGCCGCCGACGACCTTCATGCCCCACAGCACCGTCAAGGCCGCCACGCCTGAAATTGAAGAGTTGCCGTTGCTGCACATCGCGTGCATATCACACTGCTGGCTGCAGGCGAACCAACCGGATCCACGCGGGCACAACCTGCGCATTTTGGGCCAGGCCTTGCAGCTACTGTTGACCGATTGGCACTCCGCGTTCATGGGCCGCTGGAGTGTATTTATGGACTTCTGCTGCACCCACCAAAACTGTAGGGACCGCGAGGGCGTTGCCCAGCAGCACACCTACCAGCGGCTCGAAGGCTCAGATTCTTTCCAGGACGATGCCCTCGGCCGCTTCGAGCTGGAGCATGCGCTCTTCAAGGAGGCATGGGGGAGCCTGGGGAGCTTCTACTCCCACCCTGCCACTGTCGTCTTCATGCTGACGCGGTTTCCAGATGATTGCGACGATGCTGCAAAGTACACCCGGTCGGGCAACACGGAGCAGTACTTCAACCGTGGCTGGTGCTTCTGCGAGTCCTCCTGGGCGATGCTGGTGAAGGATTTTTCCTTGCTCTTGGACCTCGGCCGATCCACCGGAGCGGAGACCTGCTACTGTGGTGACGGCCTCACGGATTCGCTGGTGAGGACCTGCGCGGCGGGGCGCCGGGCGCCCGTCCTGCCCGACGCCTTCGAAATGCAGCTACAGAGCAAGGGGTTCGCCAACGGCAAGGACGACCGGCCCCGGGTCGCCGAGCTCTTCCGCTCCGCCTTCGCGCAGCGCTTCGAGGCCGCGGAGGACCTGATTTATGCGACCCTGCAGTGGGGGGACGAGGAGGCGCAGCAGCTGGCCGCCGTCCTCGCCTCGGGCGCCGCGCCCCAGCTGCAGGTGCTCAACCTCAACGGCAACCGCGTGGCCACGCCGCGTGGGCGACGAGGGCGCCGCGCGGCTGGCGGAGGCCCTGCGCCCCCCGGGCGCGCTGCCCTGGCTGCGGGAGCTCTGCCTCTGGAGCAACCGCGTGGGCGACGAGGGCGCCGCGCGGCTGGCGGAGGCCCTGCGCGC